CTTCTGCCACATGCTGGTTCTCATCCTGCCAGTAGAAGAAGAGTGGCAGCAGGCTCTGGATCACGTGTTGTTTTCTCTTGTCCACTCCCAGCTCCATCACCTTTCGGAAGAGGTGAATGGAGAGCAGTTGCACGTGGATGTTGTCCTGATGGAAAGGAAGAAGAAAAGACCTGAGAACTGGCTGCTCCAGGCTCACCGGAGCACAGGTCTGTAAATGCACAGGCCACAGTTTCCTGACAGCACCCAGTGCCTGTGGTGGGGGGCACAGAGACTTACGTAGCCAAAGAGTGGCTGCAGCACCTCAGCCAGCTGCAGGGCAGTGGGGGTGGAGATTGGGGTGTCTCTGTCCTGGACTTCATTGATGAATACAGAGAGAGCCATCACAATCAGCTCTCTGTCTTCATCCCACAGAAAGTCCATCAGGCTTTCTGTCAGGGTCCACACTCTGTCAGCCTGTGAGGAACACAAGGCTGTGCTGTGAAGCCAGGAACGGCTGCAGAGCCAACCCCGCTCGGGCGTGGCAGCTCTGGGTGCAACTGTGAAGCCCGGAGACCAAAGGCCTGTCCTGAGGGACTGGGGCAGCTGAACAGGGAGGCAGCAGAGCTGGGAGCAGCTGCCACAGCTCCCAAAGTGACTGCATTGCCCAGCCCCAGGATTCCAGCATGGCTTCAGCCAACTGCCCCCTCCTCACCATCACAGGATCCTTGCTGAGCACCACGAGGCCTCTGAGTGCCAGGCGACGCCTCTCTGGGCACTCGCTCCACAGGTGCCTTGCAAGGATCTCCAGGAAGCTCTCACTCCATTCGGTCATGTCCAGGCAGTCGAGGACCTGAAAGGCACGCAGCAGTGACGGGGTGCCCGGCCGGCAGGAGCCCGGACCCGCACAGGGCTGTGCCCAGGCAGCAGCACAGGGCGCGGCACCGTCCCGGGCAGCTGCAGCTGCCAGAGGGCTGAGAGGTGGAGGCAGCTCAGCCAGGCAGTGCTCGCCAGCAGGCTCACCTCCACAAGGAAGGCCATGGCGGGAAGCTCCCAGCGGGGCTCCTCCCTGCTCAGCAGCTCCAGCAGGCAGGGGGCAATCCAGGAATTCAAGGGGCTCGAGGCACGGCGCATCTCCCTGGCAGGGGGAAACAGGCACCATCAACCCTGAGCTGGGTGGGCAAACCTCTGCTGGGGCTCACTCACACAGGCCTGGTCTTTCCCCTGGAGGGGACACGTGCACTTTGGGCAGCAGCTCCTCCTGTGCCCCCGCCTCTCCCAGCCTTTTCCACTCTGCTCAGCCATCCCTCACTGACAGGGCCCTCTGGCCCACGACCACAGGCACTGTGGGGGTGCCCCGTGCACAGGCAGAAATGACAGGGGCAGCGGGGACAAGGGGGTCTCACCTGGCCAGCAGACCCACTGCGTAGTGGTGGGTGTCAGGCCTGAGGAGCGTGTCCCAGCCACGCTTGCGTTCCATCGAAACCACCACATCCTCACACTCCAGATGGCAAAGCAGGGCCTTTATGGTCAGCACTGCAAATCTGT